TACAAAAGCCCAGCAATTTTGCCCTGAAAACCTCAGAGCAGGTTAATCCCCGTAGTGACAAATTTGGTTGTTGGCACTCATTGATTGAAACTGACCTCTTCTTGCTGCAGGTCAGAGTATTGAGATGCTTAACTATGACTCAGTCCAGGAGTTGTCCCTGCTGCTTGACTCTGCTGACAACAGGAACATGTTAAGGAGACTGGGGCAGTCTTTGGGTGTCCCACCTCAGGTCATCGCCCATCTCCAAGGCTTCCAGGACCTCTTTCAGTACTTGCGCACCTCCACCTACACACTGCTGCCCCAGCTGGCCCAGGCTGCTGCACTCTTACCTAATCTTGAGGTTGTTGCTACCATACACCGAGCTGTGGTGAACAAGTGACCCTTTATACACCAGGGACGTGTTAACATGACCCCAAGTGTTACTGTATATGATGTTTCTGACCCACTTTGTACGGATCACCCAAAATGCCAAACACAAGAAGACATTCTACGTACTGAAATTAATTGATTTTGAATGAAATATGAGTGAAATATGACTGGACAATAACCCTCAGTGCAATACCTTCCCCCGTACAATACTGGTATAAATATACATTGTACAGATAATACAGATCCGTACAAGTATCTATTTTTATTCTATCTTTATCTTGATTTCTAATGAACATTCCTTTATCTGCTTGCATTGTTTATTTCCTGTTTATACTGTTTATTTTGCATTGTTTGCATTGGTAATTGCTTGTTTACACTGTTTATTTTGTTATACTACACAGCCTTTTGTTGGTATATTGTTTACTTACCCCTTGCTGTTGCCTTGCTGGGGATATGTACATGCACATTGAGAGCTGCTGTACTAGAGTCAAATTCCTCGTGTCCAACACACCTGGCCGATAAAGCTGATTCTGATTCTGAAATGTGATGTTTCTGTAAGTAGAAATGATGGGCACAAGAGCTATAACCAAAGAACTGACTTTTTCCAATACTTTTTTGTCCATACTGATTGCTTTACAGGGTCCATCTGACTAAATCAGTCATTTAATAGATGCTGTAACTAAATAAAGAGTGCAGTTGTGCCTTGAGTGTTAAATAATACAATACCCAGGCCATTGCAACTGGATCCCACATGTGGTGTTACTTCCTGTTTACTATGTAAAATAGATGAAAGGCCTTCTGGCTAAAGCATGTGAGACAGACCTGGACAGAAGATGCACTGTTCATGACAAGAGAAGAAAAAACAGTCCTTATAAAAAGTGTTACTGTCTTAATAAAAGAGGTTTGTCAACTGATCATTTACCTGATCTCTAGTTTTACAGATTCTTCAGCACATTAAATCTGGTAAGCTTTCATTTTCTTTTTTTCCATCACTTCTTTTCAACTTCCTTTCTTAAGCTCGATGAAAAAAAATGTATATCATAAAAGTACTCTGTTTAACTGAACCTTCTTGTTTTATTAATTGGATCCAAAGCTTTAGTAGTGGCATTGTCACCATCTCTTGTAGGCTAGATCAGTTTTTATTGCATCAACACGCAACACCTACCTCAAAAGCCAGCACTAGGGGGCGCTCTCGGCTGTTATAGCAAATGCGCCTTGTGTCTCCTCATTTGATCGTGTATTGGGAAGATGAATCACTACTCACTAAGAATTATGACACCATAAGGTCTGCACAACTTTTCATCAGTGGTGGAAAGTAACTAGATAGGCTGCTTTTACTCAGGCACTGTAGCCTACGTATGCTATTATTTTTCTTTTTTATAACCTTTATACTTTTGTCTGAACTAATAATAATCTATAAGTTCTAACAGCACTTAGAAAAATTTTTGTTTCCACACAGTGTAGTACCAGGGGCATGAAACTTCATTTGGAGTACCAGGGGCACGAAGTTGTGGCTGGGCGGTTTTGAATTGTGTAGCCTGGGGGGGAGTGCTTGAGCATGGGTACACAGGTTCAACCAGTGTGCAGGGATCCCTGGAGGTCTGTGGTTCACCAGGGGAGCTATGCAGCACCTTGTGGCTGTATATGGAGGCCTATTTCTGGGGTACTAGCCAGTGCATTTTGTCTGTCTATGGAGCACTATTTCTGGGGTAGGTGAGATTGAAGCACAGGGTCCCCTGGAGGTCTGTGTTCACCAGGGGAACTAGCCAGCATCTTGTGGATGATTTTGGAGCAGTATTTGTGGGGTGAGAAAGAAGCATAGGATGCACTTTGACAGCATAAATTCAGATAAAAATTGAAATGGAACATTGCAGTCACTGACTAAACCGCCCTGCTGCTTAAAGTGCCTTAGATTTTGTGTTACTTATTTATCTACTTTATATTTCATTTGTATTTTGTGGCATTCATGTGGATGGCAAAGAAAGAATTTCATTGTAGAGGGAAACACATTTCCTAACTGTGCATATGACAAACACTTTGACCTTGACCTCAACAATGCATCTTAGAACAAATGCAATTATTTACAACAATTGGTTAACAGTACCAAAAATATAAGACATTTTATTCACTCTCATTGAGAAGCAGTACCTCTGAAAAATGCATCTCTCAAATAATTTTCACACTGGACTGTGTATGTGGAAGGCCTTTTTACACAACACACGATGAACAGAATTTCAGAGTATGTGCACCGCAGATGTACTTTTTGCAGTTGGTGCATGTGGTCTGTGTCTTGGATTTCTTTGAGGGTCCACACACTTTGCAGTGCTTCCTCTTTTTGCAAGTGGCTGCTGGAGGTTGTGGTTGTGTGGGTCCTGCAAGTGGGACAGCAGAATCCTCCTGCATCCTCTTAACGATGGCAAGAGAAGCTGGGTTCCTGGGCACATGTTGTCTCCTCTGTGTGTGCGGTGTCACTAGTGCCTTGCCTAGTTCCTCCCGAAAAAGACGTATTCTTTGGAGCTTCTTCTGTTTCCAGTCCGGGTTAAGTGCCATCCAGATTACGAAGGCGTTGTATGCCGAAACAGCTTCTAGTGGAGGTATCATGCAGAGAGTTTGCCCAGGCTTTTCTATCGCCAACCTAATATAATGAAATTACATAATGAATGAGTAGATTTAGATTTGCTTTGTGCACATAGTGAATAAATAACTTTTTAAAACAACATGTCCTTTTTAAGCAGACTTTAAGCAACTGTCATAAAGACCATTTCTTCACTAGGAAGCAGTTCCAAATAAAACTGCAGATGGTAACTGAAGAGTAACTGAACCCCAAAGGTGGAGGAATGGACTGGCCTGTTTTTTTACATTAGAAGTTGAGGTGGGAGCTCAGTCCTGTTTTTTCTAATTGTGCCAACCATTGTCAGCTTTCTTTTGAGAAGTTCCTGTCCCAGGCTCTATGTAGTGAAAAATATTTTCACAAGTGATGTTGTGCCCACTGAGGCCCTGCGTCAAATCAAGAACAACCCGTGTCCCCTGGTTTTTCTCAGGGGCTCCTCCCTCTGGCTTCCCTGTATAAATTTGCATGTTCCATGCATAATATGATGTCGCATCACAGGCAGTCCATATTTTTATTCCATACCTTGCCGGTTTGGAGGGCATATACTTACAAGTCTGTAAGTCTACAATCCATTTCCCGCTACACCTAGCAGATTTATTCCCAAGGTCATTCTGTTTGTTTGTTTGGGATTTAAGTCTGGCTAACACACGACCAGATAGGCTGTTGCTAAAAATCTTCAACATCCAAACATTATGAACTTCAACTACTGTAGAGGTTGCTACTGCAGCTGGATGGTCTTTCTTTTTTGTGCATCTTATGCTGTTATCAGACAGCTGACAG